TTTCTTCTTCAAAAATGTCCAGACAAGCTTCGATCGAGTTCCCATTTATTATTAAAATGAAATGCAGGTGAAGAGTTGATTCATTGAAAGAATGCTTAAATGCTTAGATAGAAGCATCAATGCTTAAACATTAAGTACCCCTAAGTCGCGAGTATAAGTTCTGTTTGGTTTTCGCATGCAAATTCCGGCTGTCTCCAGTGCGGTGTGTCGAGGGTTCGAACCCATGCCCAGCATAGCTTTTTTTGCTTTTTAAGTTAACAATTAACGAGAACAATAATAAAAGTAAATTTATTGAGGGGTTATAACGTTTTATGCTGTTATTTGTTGCTCCGGGCGTGGCTCGGCGCGTCCGCCCTGCTCCTCTCCGATTGCTTCCAGTCTTATGGATCCCTCCCTGGCCTCTTCATGGCCCTCCCTGGCCTCTTCATGGCCCTCCACAGCCTCTTCATGGCCCTCCCTGGCCTCTTCACTTGGCCCTCTCTGTCTTCTTCATGGCCCTCCCTGGCCTCTTCATGGCCCTCCCTGGCCTCTTCATGGCCCTCCCTGGCCTCTTCATCCGGCCAAAGTCCACGTCGACGGTCGAAAGAGATGCTTTCCAGCGTCTTCTTCAACACTATCCCTGGGATGTATCCATGCACATAATGAAATAACCCAATGGTGACTAGGCTGTCCGTAATGGTGATAGGCTGTCAGCAATGGTGATAGGCCTGTAGTATCCCGCGCTCCAAGAACAATAATAAAAGTTTATATAACAATAAAAATGTATAAAAACCCAACAAAAGAAATTCAAGCAATTAAAGAGAAGCGAATGTAAATTAAGGCGGAACTTATACTCGGATCAACTTATACTCGAGACTTTTAGGGTAATTAAAGAGAAATCAAATTTTTCGTCGAATCAAATTTCCTGTAGAAATTATACCCGATCGACTTTGGATTGAAAGTTCCGTTGCGAAAATGACGACAGAGCGGCGATCAAAAGGTTATTTTGGTTTGGTTATTTTGGTTTTTTGAACTTTTAAAACATTTTGGAAACGTTATTTAGAACTTTGTGAGGACTTTATTAAGAAAATCGATGGAAAGCATAGTTTTAATAATTTTGAAAGTTAAAAGATTATTTTGGTGCGATTTTGAGACCACTTACCGTAATTACTGACCAAAAACGGAATGAAATTTCTAGTTATTATTTCTAGTTATTGATTTGATAAGCTGACTATCTAATGGCAAGGAAAACTTATGAAAATTGCCTTACCGTAAAATACTGTAATAGTACCCCACTCCCATAATGACGGTGCCGGAGTGTTCGTGGTCTAACTTTGAACGAGTTTTTCTCTCGACACTGGTTTTATCCTTTACAATGTTCGTTTTGGTTTCAGAAAATAGCCACGGAATTTCCAGCTATTTTTGATACCAAAACACTTATTTTGAAAATACAGGTGCTTTGAAACAAATGAAATACTAAAAAACTTTTGCGACTACCCGACTGTACGAGGGGGGTACTATTACAATATTTAAGGTATGGTTGTCTCAAACTTCTTGTCGTACCATAAACTCCGCCAAATAGCTTGAAGGAAGACCATCTGGAAGTATTAGATGAGGCAAATTTGAACCTACAGCGGTTTTCTTTGTGGTGCCACTTTTACCACTTGTCGCTATAATTCACTTGGTCACCCTGTACCTAAATAGACAATTTAAAATAAATGCCTAGTTCAAGTATAAAATATCCATATCGTAAATACTGTAATAGTACCCCACTCCCATAATGACGGTGCGGAGTGTTGCGTGGTCTAGCTTTTGAACAATTCTTTCTCAACACTGGTTTATGCTACAATGTTCGTTTTGGTTTCAGAAAATAGCCCTGAATTTCAGCTATTTTTTTGATACCAAGAAACATTTTTTGGAAGTACAGGTGCTTTGGAAAAATGAAATACTAAAAAAACTTTTGCGACTACGCGACTGTACGAGGGTGGTGGGGGTACTATTACAGTATTTACGGTAGTATTAAGTTAATACAGTGTATGGGAGAATTGTACGGATTAAGCAGTATTTACGGTATGTGCTTTAGAATCTAAAAGTAAAACAAAAATGGAGAACTTTTTCGCTAGAGTAAGAATATGCCGCAGTTCTCTTTCCCATACATCATTGTTCTCTGTTTTACAGATTGTCTGCACATCGTCATCTTGTTTATTTTATTTCTTCTTATCGCTAGCCTATTGGCTATTTATTTAGTCAGATTGAGTGATTGAAGCAAAACATTCGTCGACAACTCACATATCGACGATTGAAAAATCTCTTTTCACTTTCACTTTCACATTTTTGATTATTAAGGATTGCTTTTCTTCAAGCAGACACCAAAATTACTATTAACTTAAGAGTTAAACACGTTTGTTGTAAAGTTTATTGTAAAGTTTGCTGTAAAGTTTGTTATAAAGTTTGCTGTAAAGTTTGTTACTAAAGTTTGCTGTAAAGTTTATTGTAAACTTTATTATAAAGTTTGTGTAAACTTTATTATAAAATTTATTGTAAACTTTATTATAAAGTTTATTGTAAACTTTATTATAAAGTTTGTTGTAAAGTTTGCTGTAAAGTTTGTTATAAGGTTTGTTGTAAACTTTGTCGCAAAATTTCATTGACATTCAACCTGTTCTACTTCTTCATCCCAATCCAATCCCGTACTACCCTTGTCTTTACTGGTAACTCTTTTGCAAGCTAATTACTAGACTGAGGAAAAAGTCCTGACTCAACTGCGAAAAATTCAATTTTTATGCGCACTTTAATAACAAAAATAACAACAATTATTCCCCAACAACCCACCATTATCTACGACTTTCTGTCATCGATCTGCAAGCTTTCGGATCTGGTCGAAGTACCACTCCTTCGGTTTCGAATCAAAGAACTCTTGGCAAACTTCAGCCTCTTCAAATGACTCGAATCGGCGACCTTTCAGGAAATGTTGCAATGATCGGAAGAGGCCATAGTCGGACGTCCGGATTGTAGACAGGATGCAGCAAAATCTCAACTTTCTCCAGCTCTTCAAACTTGTCTTTGGTCTTTTTGGCGGCGTGAGGCTTAGCGTTGTTTTGTTGAAATAGAGCTCGCTTTCGTCTGATCAACCTTGGGTACGTTTTCACTAGCTTGGCGTAAACGCAGTCCAACTGCTGGCAATAGAGCCCACTGCTGGCAATAGAGCTCACTGCTGGCAATAGAGCTCACTGCTGGCGATAGAGCTCACTGCTGGCAATAGAGCTTTGGAACCAACTCAAAGTGCAAGGCTCCTTTTCGCAGCTGAGTCAGAACTTTTTCCTCAACCCAATTAAATTTAATCTCTTTGTTTGTCTATTTTGTAGTATTTTTATTGTTTTCTGAATAAATCCTTTTAATTGTCAACAATGAAATAACTTTCCTTAAATCACAAAAAAAGCTACGAAATGTTTCCAATTTAAAGCAAAAAAACCCAGAGTTTCATTTCGAAAAAACCCAGAGTTTGCTAACGCTTAGAAATAGTCATTTAAAATTAGAGAAAGCCAAGAAAAAGATGAAAATCAAGTGCAGAGAGTTTTTATTCTTCATTGAAAATGGAAATGCAAATGATTTTCAGTTTTACACATCTTATTTGGACGACAGCACAACACAACTTTTACATGTTTAGTGAAAAATCAATAAAACAGCTTAAAAATTTGGTTTCTACAAACATTTCCGATGAAATAATCATTTATTTCGATTAAATAATCACTAAAATCGAGATTTTCACTTAAAATCTTGGAGTTGGAAAAATTTTTTGAGAACCTTTGTGACATTTATAGATGAACTATTGGATTGGCAACTTGAAAATGGCCATCTTTTTATGCACCTTTTTCAAAAACTATTAGGTAAATGCATAAGAAATGCGGATTTCAACATTTTCATAAATTTCCAACGATAGAAACTTGATAGAAATTCCAACGATAGAAACTTGATAGAAATTCCAACGATAGAAACCTGGCGGTTTGTCTCTCAGGCAGTGTCAGACTTGTTTTCAACGCTTCCGAGAGGGAGACGAGACTTTGGAAGATTACGAGCACGATTCGAGGCCAGAAGTCGTGAACGAAGCCAAGCTGATGGACGTTATTCAGGCCGATCCATGATCCAATCTGCTCGAGATCTTGCGAAAATATTCCATTGTGATCATGTCACCATCGAACGCCATCTTTTTTTTTGAATTTACCGTCAAATCGTCAGTTTCTTTTGCACCACCCTAATATTTGCCTCGAATGCAGTGCAAAGCTTTTTGAAAAGGCTGGAAATTTCTGATCGGGAATTACTTCTAGAAATGTTCAGAATTATTTCAGCTTCAAAATACTATAAAACACGGGGGAATTTAGCTTTAACTTTAATTTAGCTTTCATTTAGCTTTCATTTAGCTTTCATTTAGCTTTCATTTAGCTTCCCTCAACGTTTCTTAAACAAATGCCGCCTAAGATACGAGTAAAATACGATTGCCAGTCTATATAAGTCCTCTGTCTATATAAGGCAACCCTCATAAAGAGACCCAAAAAACTTGTATGCCAAATATCTCGCGATAGAGAAGTGTTTGGCAAAAACTGATTGCAGATTCCGGAATCAGCCTGAAAAACTGCATCAGATAGGGTATTTCCCGAGTCAAAAAGCGATGATAAGTTAACAAAATTCCCTAGCTAGCGGCCTCCTTATTTCTCCACGGCCTCCTTGTGTCTTAACGGCCTTCTTGAGGCTCGTGGCAAACGGAAACAGAAACAATGGCAAACGGAAACAGAAACAATGGCAAACGGATCAAAAAAGCAGCGAAGTTAACATGCCTGGTCCATTCAATGCGGAGTTAACATGCCAACTCACCTTGATCGATTCCAACGCCAGCGGTATTTGCCTCATCATCATCAAAATTAAACGATTCGCCGATGAAAGTAAATCCTTGTTGAGAAAGATTAAGGCAAGATTTGTGTCTCTTTCGTTGCATCCGACTGATGCCACCATATAACGACAAATTAGAGAAAATTCCTGAAACTCTTTCCTTTTATTGTGACAAAAATTTGCTTACCTGTAAATTCTGTGGAAAAGAGGCGATTCGAAGAAACGGAAAAATTACTCGTAGAAATTCTTTATTGGAAACAAATTTTCTCTCCGTTGACGCATTGTAGAAAGTCGAGAAGTGCTCATTTATCGTTGATCTAAAATAGTTTTTCATAATAAACAGTAATTCATAATAATTCCATAGTAAAAAGTCAATATTTCTAGCTTTAAATGCGTTTTTTTAGTTATAGACCATTTGAAAAAGATTATTGACTAGAAAGATCACTAGAAAGCTCTTGATCACTAGAAAGGAACAGAGAAATGCTCATGTTTTCACTGACAATTGGTGAAATCTCTTGATTTTCTTAAAAAGCTTTGCCTGATGCCTGATCTTTGCTTGATCTACCTGATGAAATCATTTTAGCGCACATTTTAGTCTCAATCAATTTTTCATTTAAAAGATCGATTCAAACAACTCACAAAATCCCCTCTCGATAGCATTTCCTTTGAATGTAGCCTCGAAGAATCGTTTGTAGACGAATCACCTTCTCGTCCTCCATTCAAAATCAATAATCGACAAGAAATCACATCACAAAACCCGCGAAATTCATTGAAAAATATCTAAAAATCTCTAAAAATTGAATTAAAAATCGATTCAACTTTTCAAATAAAACCCCTTGGTTAGCCAATTATCTTATTTTGGTCTTTTTTTTGGTCCATCATTTATTCAAGACACTTAAAAGTTGCACAGACTTTAGCAATAAATTTTACAATAGACTTTAGCAATAAAGTTTAGCAATAGACTTTAGCAATAGACTTTAGCAATAAACTTTAGTAATAAACGTTTTAAGGAAATAAACAATATATACAAATAAAAGCACCAAATGACTGGATTGAAAAGTTGATGTAAATCTTCTTAAAGTTGATGTAAATCTTCTTAAAGTTGATGTAAATCTTCTCAAAGTTGATGTAAATCTTCTCAAAGTTGATGTAAATCTTCTCAAAGTTGATGTAAATCTTCTCAAAGTTGATGTAAATCTTCTCAAACAGTCGTGTGTGTTCGACTGCCTCGATGCTGTTGCAAGGCCTCTTTCTCGTCGCGTTCAAGCTGTAAATTCACCTATCAAATTTCTATCAACTTTCTTGCTTTCTTGCTTTTTTTTCACTATTGATTTATTTGAAAAAAGCTTGCTTAACATAAAAAGCTGTTTTTCATTAAAGTTTTCATTCATCAATGTTTGATGAATGGAAGCTTTAAAGCTAAAAGTCTAGTCGTAACTATCATAAGTTTATTAGAACCAAAAATTAGTTGATGATAGTTGTAGAAAATTTCTTTAGCTTTTTAGATTTGCTTAGAAGCATTTGCTTTTTAAATTATTATGACCGCGAATTTGGATTGGCGACATTGGCGACAACTTTTTCGGAAAAGTTGCCGGCAAACGCTTGACTTATTACCAAAGTGTCAAGTGTTATATAGAAAAATAAAGCCCTTCATCTTGGCATCATTTATCTAGGAAGAATTTCCCGATTGGAATGATACAACTCATTTTACAAGCTCTCAAATGAGCTCAAGTCGACCTCTCTCCGACGATCTGCGATTTTTCATACTTTTTGATACACAATATTCATCTAAATTCATCTAAAAAAGGATTCTTTCAATCAAACTATTATTTTATTTTAAAAGTACCATTCAACAAAAATATAACGCTAGAGAAGCTCATACAGGAAGAAAATATTGTGTGTTAAAAAGTGTCAAAATGGCAGATCGATGGAGAGAGCTCATTCGAGAGCTTGTAAAATGAGTTAAATAACTCCAACCTGGAAGTTCTTTGTAGAAAAATAATGCCAAGATAAAGGGCTTTATTTTTCTATATAACACTTGGCACTTTGGTAATAAGTCAAGCGTTTGCCAGCAACTTTTTAAAAAAAAGGTGTCGCCATAATCTAGCGCCACCCTGTACAGACATAAATAAATAAACGCAGTCACTCTGTATAGTTTCTATAAATTTAAAATGCAAAAATCTCAATCTAGTACTATTGATAATGTTCATCAGACTAAACCTTTTCTTTTCTCGTGTTCCCTGAGGAGTTGTTGCGAGTCTGCATCGAGTTCATCACAATAGCCGTCGACTTTTCATCTGAAATAAAGTAATCATTTTCAACTTCGTGTTTCTAAAAGTATGGTTGGCAGCTCTAAAGTTCTGAAGATAGGTTGGCAGTTCTAAAGTTCTAAAGTTAGATTGGCAGTTCTAATGTTAGGTTGACAGTTCTAAAGTTCTAAAGTTAGGTTGGCAGTTCTAAAGTTAGGTTGGCAGTTCTAAAGTTAGGTTGGCAGTTCTAAAGTTAGGTTGGCAGTTCTAAAGTTCTAAAGTTAGATTGGCAGTTCTAAAGTTAGGTTGACAGTTCTAAAGTTCTAAAGTTAGGTTGGCAGTTCTAAAGTTAGGTTGGCAGTTCTAAAAGTTAGGTTGGCAGTTCTAAAGTTAGGTTGACAGTTCTAAAGTTCTAAAGTTAGGTTGGCAGTTCTAAATTTCTAAAGTTAGGTTGGCAGTTCTAAAGTTAGGTTGACAGTTCTAAAGTTCTAAAGTTAGGTTGGCAGTTCTAAAGTTAGGTTGGCAGTTCTAAAGTTAGGTTGGCAGTTCTAAAGTTAGGTTGGCAGTTCTAAAGTTAGGTTGGCAGTTCTAAAGTTAGGTTGACAGTTCTAAAGTTCTAAAGTTAGGTTGGCAGTTCTAAAGTTAGGTTGACAGTTCTAAAGTTCTAAAGTTAGGTTGGCAGTTCTAAAGTTAGGTTGGCAGTTCTAAAGTTAGGTTGACAGTTCTAAAGTTCTAAAGTTAGGTTGGCAGTTCTAAAGTTAGGTTGGCAGTTCTAAAGTTAGGTTGGCAGTTCTAAAGTTAGGTTGGCAGTTCTAAAGTTAGGTTGACAGTTCTAAAGTTCTAAAGTTAGGTTGGCAGTTCTAAAGTTAGGTTGACAGTTCTAAAGTTCTAAAGTTAGGTTGGCAGTTCTAAAGTTAGGTTGGCAGTTCTAAAGTTAGGTTGACAGTTCTAAAGTTCTAAAGTTAGGTTGGCAGTTCTAAAGTTAGGTTGACAGTTCTAAAGTTCTAAAGTTAGGTTGGCAGTTCTAAAGTTAGGTTGGCAGTTCTAAAGTTAGGTTGACAGTTCTAAAGTTCTAAAGTTAGGTTGGCAGTTCTAAAGTTCTAAAGTTAGATTGGCAGTTCTGAAGATAGGTTGGCAAGAAAGTTCGTAGAAAAAGTTTGCACGGCGATTTCTCAAAAACCAATCCATCAATTCTTTCTAAACTTTTCGATTTCTTCTAAAAGTCTCTAAATTTTAAGGAAAAGCTGCACTCATTTTTTACGAGTAATTTCTTGGAGTCGACTTGTATATAATAGAACAAAATGTTCTTGAATTGATGGATTCGTTTTTAAAAAGACTTAGTTGCGAGTTGCGCAAAAAATTTGGCGCAAAGTAGCCACCGCCCTTTTATTTGCTTAAGTCCAGTCAAACTTTTACCGAGAACTTTGTTTCCAATAGAATCTTCAATATATTAGACATCCTTTTAGCTATTGTTTCATTCCTAAGCTCAAAGTAAACCAAATAAACAATTTAAACAACCAAATAAACAAACAAAAACACCTACCATTTTGATTGACGGTCGATTTCTTCTTTCCTCTCATCTTTCGCCGAGCCGCTATCAAATCGATTTGTCGCTTTGTGCGCGGGATTCGAATTCGCATAAAACAACAGACAATCACCACTAGAAACTCTTATTTAGAAGTTTTTTTCTTTCTCAGCTTACCCATGACAAGTAGCACACCAGAGACGAGCGCTATCAACATCCAAAGCCGTAAACCCGGCGCCACATACTCGTCCAAAGCCGACAACGTCTCATCACCGTTCATGATTCTGAAAATTAATTAAATAAATTAATAATAAAAAGATTTCATAAATCTTTAGCTATTTAGAAGAGAATTCTAGATAGAATAGGAATCTTTATTGCAAGAATCTATTCATTTTCTCCTTCAATTTCATTCAATTCATTCAATTTCAATTCTTTATCTGCCATTTCAATTATTTTAGCTATCTTTAGCTCCAATTAATCTAAACGATTATAAAATTGACTGAATATTATCCAAATTTGTCCAAATTGCTTGAAAATGAATCTGTAACTAATTCAGCACCAGTTTAGTATCAAGTCAAAGCTCAAAGCTCAAAGAAAAACTATAAACTAACAGCTACAAGAGCTATCAACAGCTACAAGAGCTATCAATAGCTACAAGAGCTATCAACAGCTACAAAAGCTATCAATAGCTACAAGAGCTATCAACAGCTACAAAAGCTATCAATAGCTACAAGAGCTATCAATAGCTACAAGAGCTATTCATTTTCTCAATTGATTCTTGTATAATCAATAAAAAGTAACATACCTGGATTGGAAGAGAATAGAGTAATCTGGTGGAAAATGGTTGAATCGAGCGGATGTTGGTAAACGAGAAGGGAAAGAGGGGGAGGTGAGATGGAGGAGAAGTCTACCCTCTTCCTCACCCTCTCACTCCCCTCCTTCCCCTTTCCCCCCGTTGTCTCTTTCATCTTTTGGGCCCTCATTTTGGACACAGCTGGTGCTTCTTCTTGCCTTGAATGGCGGAAAAGAAAATAATGTGTCTGACATGTTGTGAATGGGAAAAGAGTGTTCTTTTCGTGAGACAGCGTGTGTCACGTTGAGCGCTTTTTAGACCGCGATAAGTTTGGGATTTCTGGGCAAGACAAGACAAGTTTTGGGTTGAAAAGGATGAGAAAAGAATGGGAATTGAAGGATTAATCAATTGAATATCGATAAACATGTTATTTGTTGATATTGATGTTTTATCGGCACAGGGGACAGCACTCATTTCTGTCATTCAAACCTTGACACTCAAATGTTTCAGATTATGTTTTGTCTATGTTTATGTCTAAACTCTTCACTAAACTCTTTCTAGATCATAATTTACCGTAAATAGAAGCCAATACTTTAATAGAAGCTCCGCCTCCTCCCCCTTCTATAGGCGCGTCGCGTAATCTAAGTTTACTCTCAAACAAACGCTCATATCTTGACACCGGTACGTTTGTTTCGACGCGCTTTAGTATCAAATTAAAGTAGAAAGGATGGGTGATTTTTTGAGATATAACACATATTTTTAGCATTAACCAGCGCTAAGAAAAAAATGATTGAAAAGTGGCGAAAAAAAAGCGGATTCACTGATGTTCTCTGTTCTTTTCTACAATAGTTTATGGTTAGTATAACAATTACAAAACTTATTGTGTGTCTGGGGTTTTGAGTGAAGGGGGAGTGAAAGAAAAGAAAAGAAATTTGAAACGAACGCGGCTGCGATCGAATTTGAAGTCGCCAAACAGATGATTAACCGCTGGAAACAAGCTGAGCCGGCACTGATGAGTTCACCAAAAAATAATCGAGCTTTCCGAGGATTGTGGAGCAAAATGGCCGGATGTGGAGAAAGATCTGAAGGCATGGGTTCTGGAGAGGCGATCAAAACAACGAGCTGTAAGTGAGCTGTAAAAGCAAAAAAAGTTATGCTGCAGCGGGGTTCGAACCCTCGACACACCGCACCGGAGACAGCCGTCAATTTGCATGCGAAAACCAAACTTATACTCGCGACTTTAGGGTAACTAATTTACAAGTTTAAATTCAATAAAAACGTTGAAATTCGAAATTCAAACATAAATTAGCAATCATTAGCAATCATTAGCCATCACTAGCAATCATCAGCTATCATCAGCAATCATCAGCTATCATCAGCAATCATCAGCTATCATCAGCAATCACTAGCCATCATTATCAATCACTAGCAATCAGAAATTAGAAAAACAGCTACTAAAACAAATTTTAAAAGTTCAACGAATACTTATGATGTGATCCTCTTATGATCTTATGATCTCGCTTCAAGATTTCTGGTTTAAGCTTTATATTCTCTGTACATTTATTCCGTTACCATTTGCTTTTCGATATAACCATTTGCCTTTCTTTCTTAAGACTGCCGTTTCATATTTATTCAAGAAATTAAAGCTACATTCTGTTGACTATATTTGTGATTCGATTTTTATACTCGACACTGATCAACGCAGACCATTTGATGGATCGGACGGGAGGAGTGATGGAACATTGAGCCATCGGCACTCATTCGATTCAATCCGGCGGCAAACTAAATTAACAAAATTAACAAAATTAACAAAATTAAAAGGCAGTTACGGTCGCTTTTTTTTACCTAATTGTATTTCTTAGAATTCTTTTATTAGAGAAGAGTACTAGGTCCCTGTGAGATTTCGAAACGAGAACTAGCTGATTCGATAGGAAATCGAATAGAGATTCCGAATCTATAATCAAAATCTGCTGAATAGCTCGCAAACGCGAGATTTTTGGCATCAAAGTTTGCTATACACTCTTGAGCTGAGTTTACGCTTCTCTTTCAACGGCGGTCGTGGTGTAGCTTGTCTACGGAACGGAATTTCCCCGTTCGATTTTTTATCGGATGGGCTAGGTCTCGTTTCGAAATCTCACGGTCATCTTCTCTAGGCTCTAGGCTTCTTCTCTAGGCTGTAGGCTTCTTCTCTAGGCTCTAGGCTTCTGCTCTAGGCCTAGGCTTCTTCTCTAGGCCTAGACTTCTTCTCTAGGCCTATACTTCTTCTCTAGGCTCTAGGCTTCTTCTCTAGGCTCTAGGCTTCTTCTCTAGGCCTAGGCTTCTTCCCTGGGCCTAGGCATCTTCTCTAGACCTAGGCTTCTTCTCTAGACCTAGGCTTCTTCTCTAGACCTAGGCATCTTCTCTAGACCTAGGCTTCTTCTCTAGGCTCTAGGCTTCTTCTCTAGGCTCTAGGCTTCTTCTCTAGGCTCTAGGCTTCTTCTCTAGGCCTAGGCTTCTTCCCTGGGCCTAGGCATCTTCTCTAGACCTAGGCTTCTTCTCTAGACCTAGGCATCTTCTCTAGACCTAGGCTTCTTCTCTAGACCTAGGCATCTTCTCTAGACCTAGGCTTCTTCTCTAGACCTAGGCATCTTCTCTAGACCTAGGCTTCTTCTCTGGACCTAGGCATCTTCTCTAGACCTAGGCTTCTTCTCTAGACCTAGGCATCTTCTCTAGACCTAGGCTTCTTCTCTAGACCTAGGCTTCTTCTCTAGACCTAGGCTTCTTCTCTAGACCTAGGCATCTTCTCTAGACCTAGGCTTCTTCTCTAGGCTCTAGACTTCTTCTCTAGGCCTAGACTTCTTCTCTAGGCACTAGGCTTCTTCTCTAGGCATAGACTTCTTCTCTAGGCTCTAGATTTCTTCTCTAGACCTAGACTTCTTCTCTAGACCTAGGCATCTTCTCTAGACCTAGGCTTCTTCTCTAGACCTAGGCTTCTTCTCTAGGCTAAGCCTACCTTCCATGGAGTGCATCCATTGATCGGTGTGTCGTATGGATAATCGTGTGTATTGAGTGGTCGCGAAAAAGTCGCCATCAGCACCCCATTCGTGTATTGAGCCGATTGAACGTTGACGTTGTTCTAAAGTAGCATTCGCGTTTTTCAATCAACTTTTTGCTAAGAATCATACGGTATCGGGGAAAGGTCTTGTGTATCCTCGAACATACTCATCCGTCACCAACACTCGACCATTCAACAAACGAACGGCAATCACGTCAAGTCCAGAATACTAAAGATGTTAGCTCTGAAGGATTTACGTGAAAAATGATCTGAACTGCCTACTGAATGTTGATTTGGACTGAGCTAGGCAAAAAGTTTACAGTTTACAATGTTTAACTTTTTTGGCCAGGGCCAGTAACTAAACCGGACGTTTTCCTCGGTTTTTTACATCATAATTCTTGAGTGAAAACGATTTTCAGTCAAGCTGGATGTCACTATTGGAGAATCTAGCGGAAAAATGAACAATTTACAATGTTTAAAATTTTGAGCAAAGTTGCGTAACTAAACCGGACGTTTTCCTCGGGTTTTTACACAACAATTTTTGAGTTAAAGCAACTTTTGGTCAAGCTGGATGTCACTAGACAAGAATCTGCCTGAAAAATGAATAGTTTAGAACGTTTAAAAGTAAACATTTAATGTAAACATTTAAAGTAAACTCTCAACGTTGAGAGCTTGTTTTAAAAATTTATGAGCTCCTATTGATTAGATAATGGGTACACTGCTACAGGAGACCCATTCAACATTTATTTGTAAAATTTTTGTGAAAATCGGCTATCTTTTGACTGAGCTACACCCTCCAGAGTGAGTTTGAGTAATTCTGACGCACCCTGTATTACGTTGAGTACTTATAAGAGGGCAAAAACTTCAAAAGTGTGACAACAAGTATGTTGTGCGCGCACAAAGAACCCTAGTCAGCACTTCTTGAAAAAAAAGCAGAACAAAATCCAAAGCGCGGATCGAACTTGCGAGGGCTCGCTCTGGAAACGAGTGGTGCTGTACTAGTCGGCCACGGCTGCAGTGAACATAAATAAGCAGTGTGTGATTTTTCCCGTAAACAATGACTGAAAGTTGAAACACATCTTTCTGATAAATTTGGTGCAAGAAATCGGCTTACAATCGGTTTCCCAATCGGCTTACAATCGGCTTCCCAATCGGCTTTCAATGTCACTTCAAAAACCCCAGTACTAGGTGACGCGCCAGGCTAAGTGCGACTCTCAACGTTGAGAGTTTGTTTGAAAAGTTTGTGAGTTCCTATCGGTTAGATAATGGGCACCACTACAGGAGACCCATTCAATATTTACCTGTCAAATTTTTGTGGGAATCGGTTATCTTTTGACTGAGCTATACCCTCCAGAGTGAGTTTGAGTAATTTTGACGCACCCTGTAGTTAACAAATAAATAACCTGTGGGAAATGATTTAGAATAACTATTAGATTCCCAACATATTCATTGAGAAGCTAGATTGAAAGCTAGCCAAAACTTAGCTCCTCTTAGTAAGCAGCTCGTTTTTCTTATGCTTATGTAAGATGGAAAAAAAAAACACACACACAATTGTTGATCCCATAGTTTCCATGGGATAAAATTTTCGACAAAGATAAAGACAGGATCCGATGTGACAAAGAACAACGCGTTCCTCTTTGTCACAAACATCAGAAATATCAATGTCACTTCAGTACTAGGTGACGCGCCAGGCTAAGTGCGACTCTCAACGTTGAAAGCTTGTTTTAAAAGTTTGTGAGCTCCTATCGATTAAATAATGGGCACTGGAGACTGACAAAATCTCTACAGGAGACCGACAAAATTTCAAATCAACCTTTTTCCTAATCTGACTAATTTGATTTAGGGAAAAGTGCATTGATGCGAGTTCGTCGAGTTGAGAGAACCAGTTTCTCTCGAAGTCTTTCGATTTTCTCAAAAGATTTCCCAATTTTTGCAGACTACACAGAAAAAGGAAATGTTTTCGGAGGTGGAAACGAAATATAAACAAAAAACAACCGATAAATCGAGAAAATCGAAAAAATCGAGTTTCCCGAGCCATTACCATTGAGTTCCCAAAGCCGACAGCAGTCCATCCATTCATTCCATATGGAATACCCGACACCATCAATTGGAAATAAATCTGGAAATGTAAATGGTAATAAGGTTTTACCAGGAGGCGCACAATTACCCGCACTTCGGTTCAGTTTTCAAATCCAGTTCAGTTCAAATTCACATTTTGATCTCCAATCGATCTCTAATCGATCTCTAATCGATCTCTAATCGATCTCCAATCGATCTCCAATCGATATCTAATCGATCTCTAATCTCTAATTGATCTCTAATCGAAATTCATTTGTTTCTCGTAAAAATTAGCTAGATTTTTAAGTACAAAAGGAGTAAAAAACTGGTTTTCTTTGATTTTGAGACATCGAAACTGGTTAGAAAAACCAGAAAATCGCGATTTCGCCGCAGAAAACGCGTGTCACAACTTCTCAGCGCTCTAACAAAACTTTAGAAACTTTTCTGATCAAATTCAGAAAAAATATTGAAGGAGAAATATTGTTACATATTTCTTCATTCAATTTGATAGACAAAAAAGATTTAGGTCGATTGATTGACTCTTCGCTAAGCTGGAGATTCTTTTGAACTCAATACGGGTAATTGTACGCCACCCTGTATTATGTCGAGTGTAGTTTATGATCGAGTTTATAGCCGGCCAGCGGCAGTCGTAGTGTAGTGGCTAATGAGATGGTCTACAAAACTGATAAACCTTTTTTTTGTGGTAGGTTCGAGTCCGCACTTGCCAAACGTTTTATGAGGTCCAGTTTATGAGGTCGAGTTTATGGGGTCAAATTTATGAGGTTCAGTTTATGAGGTCCAGTTTATGCGCTCTCTCCTAGCAGCAGTCATGGTGTAGTGGATACTACGGGTCCGGGTACGCCACCCTGTAAAAGAAAAGTTCTTATAATGAAATGGGAATAAGATTTTCATTGGTAAATCACGTTTTGACCGATCACTCCATATTGAACACGATAGTTTCCAGAGGCAAATTGACACATCGCTGCTTCATTTCCTGAAAGTTTCAAGTCAAAAGAAAATTTGGGGTTAAAAATCGTGCGTGTTAAAATATTTCTGCTATTAGATTTAGCCATTTTAAGCAAATTCTCCTGAATTTTTTAATAGAAATAGAAACCGATGAACGGTTTGAATCGATTAGACTCTAGAGTCTAGCTCTGTAGCCATCGCTTGCCTGATTCTAATTAGACTATGCTCCCCGTGAGTAATGCGCTTTCCAAAAAAAGGTGATCGCTAAAATCACTACCGTCGTCAAATGGTGAACTCATTTTGTTGGTATGGGCATACATTCTGAGTGTTGGTAATGGTAAATTTTGTTGGTAATGGTTATACATTCAGTCCGCCTGCCCCCGAGTACCCCCTAAGTGCATTTTGAAATCCGGGAAGTTGTTTTGGCGGAACTCTTGGACTTTCTTGGATTTGTGAGCCAGTGCGCCTAAGCCTAAGCCTGAGCTGATAAGTTCAAATACGATTTCCAAAATGTTTACGAGCCCCGGGCAAGAGTTCATCCTTGAAAAGAGCCAGGTAGTTATCGGAATTGACTTTGCGACACCTTGTTGCGACAATTATGGCGCACTCTGTAAAAGGAAGAGTCAGTGCTGCAGAAACTCGTTATCGTTATCAGAATTGACTTTCATGACTTGGGGAAGAAATATGAGAGGTATAGATTCTGAGTGTCCCCCCTGAGTGGCCCCTGAGTGCCCCCCCTTACTAGAGGCATTTTGCGTTTTTCTCCACGCACAATTTACTAATTCAGCTGTTTTTTGTTTCATTCGATGCGTCTAACTCTCCTCTATCCAATGAAATCAAAAACACCTCAATTGGTAAATTGTGCGTCGAGAGGCGCTCGTTAGTTGTTGTCACTACCTCCTCGAATTGAGAGTGGGTAATTTGCGCGCCTGCTGCCTTCCTTAGATGTGGTTGCCGTTTCTCAGGCATCCTCTCCGGAGTCAAACCCTGATCCTCCGTTACCCGTTACGACCATGGTAGTCAACTAAACTACCATCAAAAGTTGATAGGGCAGTTAATTTCGCGAATTGCCGGCCGCTGCGGTCTGCAAGATATTCAGAATCATCACTTGACGCCGAAGCGGTTGGTGAATCTAATAAATGACACCGAAGTGCACACGTGTATTAGCTTTAGAATTACTAGAAGTATCCAAAATGCTAATTTGGCGAGGATTTTAACTGTTATAATGAGCCGTTCACGACGCCTCTGGCCTCTGGCAAGAGGCTTAGGCTCAGGCTTAGGCTCAGGCTTAGGCTTAGGCTCAGGCTCAGGCTCAGGCTTAGGCTTAGGATTAGGCTTAGGCTTAGGCTCAGGCTTAGGCTTAGGCTTAGGCTTAGGGGGTACTCAGGGCGGGGACACTCGGAATGTGTAGTAATTGAATTCAAATGCAAATTCCTTAAATCTGATTCAAAGCAAAAGATAAATGCAGATCTTAAAGCGAATGCAAACTTTCGTTAGCTGAATAGCTTGAAAGCTAAATAGCTTTTGACTCAATTTAGAGAGGTTTTTAGAAAACCCATTACTCGACAATTACTTAACGACTACTTGAGCAAAAAAAGTACTCATGCAAATTTACTTGAGTGTTTACTTACTCACGAGGAACACAGCCGAATTTCTAACACTCTCAAACACTCTCCTTGCTAGAGACATAATAAGCTTGCTAGAGACATAATAAGCTCAGCATCGACACTGATTTCAACTTTCCCTTCACAAGATTAACAAACTCTTGCTTTTCCTTTAACAGGAAATTGGTGCCAAATTCAAAGTTTTAAGTAAAGTTGAACTGTTTAACAAGTGCTGTTTAACAATTTTTCTCCCGACATTCTCTACTTCACCCGACTTCAAGACATTCTCCCGTTTGCGTAAACCTTTTCTGTAGTTCGTATCCAATTTACCGTATTTTCTCTAATAGTAGTGCACTCTAAGCGTCGCCTAAATTCCTCTAGATCTCGAGAACCGCTTATCAGAACCTATCGATGTGGGAACCTAATCGAAATTTTGACATAACAGAGCTTGTAGAAACAAACGAACGGAGTTATACAAAGAGAAAAATCGACAATTTTCTGTAATTTGTTCTAGCCGTTTTGTCTTTCAAATTGGTTCCACACGCTCTGTTATGTCAAAATTTGAATTCGACACCCTCAAATTACCTAGAATACCTAGAAAAACAACATTTGGAATAGAAATTGGTTAATATTAGCTTTTTAGAGCTTTTTAGAGCTTTTTAGAGCTTTTTAGAGCTTTTTAAAACGCGAAAAAAGGTGCGCTAATGGGCAAGGTGCGGAAAAAAAAGGTGCGCAAATGTCCGGGTGCGCAAAAGATAGCATTTGTCCCACGCAAAAGGTCGCATTTGTCCCTCCCACTCCCCTAAAATCTGACAATGAAAAGCTCAAACTAACCCGTTAAACAAAAACCAAACAGGAACAGTGTAAATAAATATGATTTCATTTTCAATCGAAAGCAAATGAATGGAAACTTTCGTGGAACTCGGTCTCTGGGTCGGGTCAGCGATTGAGGATATCGGAGAGAGAGAGATTGGGGAAGTGGGCTTGGATAAGGCCAGAGAAATGGCATCTCCCATACTTGGATGTATCTCTCATTTGCCACTTTCTCGACCATTTTCGCTCTCATTGCGTTTTCTCACTTAAACACACACACATTTTAGTGGAAAGAGACAGACCGACCCCTTGACATTTCTCATTTTGGAGGTTTGCCAGTCGCAAAGATGTGATCCAAATTATTAACCCAGTAATCAGTCTTGATATATTGATCTAAAAATACTGTCTCCATATAGTTAGCTTATTTCAGACCGTCTTTAGGAGTTATAGTACAAGATTTCAGACTGACTAAGTTATGGTAAAAGATTTTCACGTAATTCAGGCTGAAGATGCACATCTTTAACTTTAAACTGAAAAATAGCTTTTTTTTATTTTGTCAATGAGCTACTGGATTTGGTCTATTGTAAGTCAAAAATCGAGTATTTGGCTTAAATGGTTTAAATGATTCAAATGATTCAAATGATTCAAATGATTCAAATGATCTAAATGATCCAAATAATTCAAATGATCTAAATGATCCAAATGAACCAAATGAACCAAATGATCCAAATGACCTAAATGATCTAAATGTTCTAAATGATTCAAATGATCCAAATGATTCAAATGATTCAAATGATCAAATGATTCAAATGATCCAAATGATTCAAATCATTCAAATCATTCAAATCATTCAAATGATCCAAATGATTCAAATGATTCAAAGGATCAAATGATTCAAATGATCAAATGATCTAAACGATCTAAACGATCTAAATGAACTAAACGATCCAAATGATCAAATGATCTAAATGAACTAAACGATCTAAATGATCCAGATGATCCAGAATATTTAATCCCGATGCAATATGTGAGTTGTGGCTAGGCTGATTCAAATGATCCAGATTATCCAAATGATCCAAATGATCCAAATGACCTAAATGATTCAAATGATCTAAATGATCCAAATGACCTAAATGATCTAAAAGATCTAAAAGATCTAAAAGATCTAAATGATCTAAATGATCCAAATGATCCAAATGATCCAAATGATCCAAATGATCCAAATGATCCAAATGATTCAAATGATTCAAATGATCTATTAGGTTGGCAAGTTATAAACGATCGTTTTTTGGTAATGTGTTTTCTGAAAAAACGGCTTATCCAATCAAAAAACGATTTGCTTGATTCAAAAGCCCTATCCTTAATCTACAAAATGGCTTTTTTGAATTTTTGAAAAATGTTTTATTTTAGAACTTTTTCAGGCATTTTAATGTAAGAGTTGAAAATTCTGGTTTCTAGCATTCATGAACTAATATATTTTTGAGTGATTGCATACTTTTAAAAATAAAACGCTTCATCGATTATGAAGCTTCCTTCCCAAAATTTCAGAACAATCCAATCTTCGGAAGGTTGATTTTCAAATTAGACTCAAAATGCACTTTTGTGCTAATTTAATCCATTTTCGTTTGAATTTAAGCAAGATTAAAAGAAAGAAAACGGTAGATTAAGGATAGGGCTTTTGAATCAAGCAAATCGTTTTTTGATTGGATAAGCCGTTTTTTCAGAAAACACATTACCAAAAAACGATCGTTTATAACTTGCCAACCTAATAGATGATCCAGTTGATCCAAATGATTTAAACGATGCAGAATATTTAATCCAGATGCAATACGTGAGTTGTGGCTAGGCTGAAGGATAATACCCTTTTTTAAACAAATCGGTAACTTTGAAAGTTTTTCTTGATCCTAATTTCCACTACTTTTTGCTAATTTGCTAAGTTCTCTTTTTGAACTCAGCCTTTGTGAGAGTGAAGCATAGAAAATGCAATCCAAACAGAGCATTTGATCATTCCATTTTTGAGAGACAATTGAAAGAAAAAGAGAACGGAAAGAATGAGATCACACTAAAGATGAAAAGAAATTTACGATTTACGTACAACGGAGACAATTGAAAAAGGCTATTTCGAGAGAAAAGTGATCGTGGGAAATTTGTGGAACCTAGGGAAACTTTTCAGATTGTTGATTAATTATCGAAATCTTTTTTGGTCTTATAATTCATACCGCAAATTTTGAATCGCAGGATTTTACGGAGAAAATATGGTATAAGATAATGAAAATTTTTCAAGTTTGTGCGGTATCTGAATGGATTCAGAAAGTTAGAAGGTTAGGAAGTTAGAAGGTTAGAGAGTTAGAAGGTTAGGAAGTTAGAAGGTTAGAATGTTAGAATGTTAGAAGGTTAGAAGGCTAGGAAGTTAGAAGGCTAGGAAGTTAGAAAGTTAGAAGGTTAGGAAGTTAGAAGGCTAGAGAGTTAGAAGGTTAGAAAGTTAGAAAGTTAGAAGGTTAGAAAGTTAGGAAGTTAGAAGGTTAGGAAGTTAGAAGGTTAGAGAGTTAGAAGGTTAGGAAGTTAGAAGGTTAGAATGTTAGAATGTTAGAAGGTTAGAAGGCTAGGAAGTTAGAAGGCTAGGACGTTAGAAAGTTAGAAGGCTAGGAGGTTAGAAGGCTAGGAAGTTAGAAGGTTAGAAACTTAGGAAGTTAGAAAGTTAGAAGGTTAGAAAGTTCTCACAAATTTTGAATCGCAGGTTTTTTCCGTTTAACAGTACAAACAGGTATTCAACACAATTACCCTTTCCCCCATCGACACATCGATCTTGTTGACAGAATAAGAATAGGATAATGGAAATCTCTCTAGTTTTTGAGTGTTCTCCTCTCTGAATTTTTAGTTAATCCCTTTCTCAAAAACTAGTTCTAGTTCTGGGAGTTCAAAACACCGTTCGATTGCTAATTTTTTTGCGCATTTTTTGAAGTATTAGGTTGGCAACTTAATAATGACGCGTTTATGTAACAAATCATTTATTTCAAAAAAACACAAAAGAAGAGCTTTCAATTCGAAAGGTATTCTCCATTAGTATCTATGACTTCTTCCCATCTTCTGCGCAAATCCCGGATCCCATCCTCGAAGAACTTGGGAGTTTTTGAGGCGAAGTAGTCACTAACTGCTTTTATGACCTGAGCATGATCATCGAACTTTTCTCCCTCCAAAAAGTGGCACTACAAAAAGTAAACTGAAGGAGCCAGATCAGGTGAATAAGGGGCGTGGGGTAAAACTTTTCAGCCAAGTTCCTCGATTTTCTTATAAGTGATCTTTGTAGTGTGAGGTTTTGCGTTGTCCTGTAAAAATCTGACTCTCTCCGGTTTGAGCCCCAATTTCTTCAAAGACTCGTTAACTCTCATTAATTGCTTCGAATAAAGATCAGCATCGACGGTTTGGCCAGTTTTCAGCACTTCATAATGCACCAATCCCTTGAAGTTCCACCAGCAACAGAGCATTATCTTCTTCCCATGGATATCAGGTTTGGGAGTGGTTTGAGGGGTCTGCCCAGCAGATAGCCATTGATTTTTGCGTTTAACGTTCTCGTAGTTGATCCACGTTTCGTCAGAAGTCAAAACCCTGTGAAAAAAGTCGTTTGATTTACATTTTTGTAGCAAAATTGAGGCGACATTGACACGGGCCATTTTGTTGCTTTGCGTCAATTCGTGAGAAACTCATTTTCCAACACGATTCTTTTTCCCAAGTGTGTAAATAGTTTTCGATTGTCGTATGGGATACTTAAAATATTTCTGCCAACTCACGAACGGTGAGTGTTGGGCAATCTTCAATTAAGGCGAGCAAGTCATCGTCGAGCACTTCTGGAGGATGTCCTTGGTGTGGCTCCTCTACGAGGCTTTCATCGCCGCCTTGGAATCTTTGAAACCATCGTTGACATTGCCGAATGTGTATACTTTCCTCTCCAAAAACAGTGATGATCGTGCGATGAGATTCAGCTGGTGATTTTCCTTGTTTAAAATCGTAGAACAATGCAACTCGAATACGGGATTTTTTTGTCCTCCATTTTTTGCCAAAAAGCGAATGATGAAATTTGGAGCACTAAATGTTATTTATGCAGACATCTTTTACTTTGTATATATGCAAAAAGAGGGAAGAAACGGCGCTTGAAATTACAGAAAACATGTTAAGTAGTGATGCGTCATTATTAAGTTGCTAACCTAATATAAGCCATTGCGAATAGCTCATTGGGTCTCTCAATCAATCTATCTTCTTTCGGGTTTCTTTTGAAGCAAGTGCTCAAACTGTCACATATGACAATAGCCCGCAGTTTTCAATTCACCAACCCAATAATATGAAAGTATAGAAGGGTCTAGGTGATATCAATTCGAAAAGAAAAATAAGCATAAGCAAAGAAATGGAAAATTGCCAACAACGGGAATTCAAAACCGACATTACTCTTTCCTTAACCCAATAATAGGAGAGATTTTCAGAAGAAGCAGTATTAAATCCCTTGATCACTTTATCGGTATTCATCCACCACAAACGCCGACGAATTTCGGTGGGTTTTTAAAAAAAAATGTTTTGAGATAAGTCGATGATAGACTGATAGACTGATAGACTAGTCGATGATAGACTGATAGTCTATGATAGACTGATGGACTGGTCTATGATAGACGGATAGACTGGTCGATGATAGACTGATGGACTAGTCTATGATAGACTGATAGTCTATGATAGACTGATGGACTGGTCTATGATAGACGGATAGACTGGTCGATGATAGACTGATGGACTAGTCTATGATAGACTGATAGTCTATGATAGACTGATGGACTGGTCTATGATAGACTGATGGACTGGTCTATGATAGACGGATAGACTGGTCGATAATAGACTGATGGACTAGTCTTTGATAGACTGATAGACTGGTCGATGATAGACTGATAGACTAGTCGATGATAGACTGATAGACTAGTCGATGATGGACTGATAGACTCGTCGATGATAGACTGATAGACTGGTCGATGATAGACTAGTCGATGATAGACCACGTATGGTAGATTTTGTTAGACACGGTGCAATTGTGTAAACACAATTTTTTGATTGTAACTCGAAGCTCAATGATTCAATTCCCTTAATTGCATATCTATATCCAATTTCAAGTTGATTTTTGCAGTGATTTTTAATCTTTAGTTCAAAAACAACAATTAACAATCAACAACAATGTCCAACAATCATTTCACCAACCCAATATTAAAGGAAAGTCGAGATATGGGAGTGAAAAGACAAAAAAAGGATACTTTCGAGTGTCCCGTGTCAGAAGAAGCCTTGTTTTCAAGTTTAAAGAAACAAAAGTCGAAAGATGCATTGATGCATTGATGCATTTATGCAAATTTACTTCAGTTATCCTCTTTTTACTTTATCTTCGTTTTTTTCTATTTCGACACATTGTTGTTGACGAAATCTTCATAGAAAAGGCTCCTTCTCTCCCTTTTCCAAATCTCTTTCAGCTTTACCCTTTTGAAAAGCACGTAAACAATTCCCTTATTCTCTCTTTTACCCCCCTTTTACCCCCTTTTTTTCCTTCACTTTCTCGAATCTCGTGTTTTTCTATTGGCACACAACCAAATTACACTCATATATTCATCTTTTTCTTTACAAGTTTCAATTCCTAACAGATTTTCAACTGCTTGTTTATTAAAGAATAACTTTTCTTCTTAAAAAAATGTCCAGACAAGCTTCGATCGAGTTCCCATTTGATGACCAAAATGAAATGCAGGTGAAGAGTTGATTCATTGAAAGAATGCTTAAATGCTTAAATAGAAGCATCAATGCTTAACCAGAAGCATCAATGCTTAACTAGAAGCATCAATGCTTAACCAGAAGCATCAATGCTTAACTAGAAGCATCAATGCTTAACCAGAAGCATCAATGCTTAACTAGAAGCATCAATGCTTAACCAGAAGCATCAATGCTTAACTAGAAGCATCAATGCTTAACCAGAAGCATCAATGCTTAACCAGAAGCATCAATGCTTAACCAGAAGCATCAATGCTTAAATAGAAGCATCAATCAAACAATAAGTAATTAAAGAAATCAAATTTTTCGTTAAATCAAATTTCTTACAGAAATTATACCCGATCGACTTTGGACCAGAGGATCAGTTGCCGAAAATGACGACAGAGCGGCGATCAAAGGTTATTTTGGTTATTTTTGAACATTTAAAACATTTTGAAACGTTATTTAGAACTTTATTTAAAACTTTATTTAGAACTTTATTGAGAAAATCGATGGAAAGCATAGTTTTAAATCATTTTATAAAGTTAAAAGATTATTTTAGTGCCGATTTTGAGACCACTTACCGTAATTACTGTACCCCACCCCGATAATGACGGTGCGGAGTGTTGCGTGGTCTAGCTTTGAACGAGTTTTTCTCGACACTGGTTTATGCTACAATGTCCGTTTGGGTTTCAAAAAATAGCCCTGAATTTCAGCTATTTTTTGATACCTAAGCGCGCATTGTAACATAAACCAGTGTCGAGAAAAACTCGTTCAAAGCTAGACTACGTTTTCGCTGAATTTGAGTGCACCAGAAAAGACACAAAAGACGGAATGAAATTTCTAGTTATTGTTTCTAGTTATTGATTTGATAAGCTGACTATCTAATTGCAAGAAAAACTTATGAAAATTGCCTTACCGTAAATACTGTAATAGTACCCCACTCCCATAATGACAGTGCGGAGTGTTGCGTGGTCTAGCTTTAAACGCGTCTTTCTCGACACTGGTTTATGCTACAATGCTCGTTTAGGTATCAAAAAATAGCCCTGAATTTCAGCTATTTTTTGATACCAAAAACGCATTTTTGAAAGTACCGGCGCTTTGAAAAAAATGAAATACTAAAAAACTTTTGAGACCACGCGACTGTACGAGGGCGGTGGGGTATTATTACAGTATTTACGGTAGTTATTAAGCTAATACAGTGTATAGGTTAATGCTTATTAAGCAGTATTTACGGTATGTGCTTTAGAATCCTAAAGTAAAACAAAAATGGAGAACTTTTCGCTAGAGTAAAGTCTGCTGGATTCTCTTTCCCATACATCATTGTTCTCTGTTTTACAGATTGTCTACATCGTCGTCTTGTTTATTTTATTTCTTCTTATCGCTAGCCTATTGGCTATTTATTTGGTCAGATTGATTGATTGAAGCAAAACATTCGTCGACAACTGACATATCGACGATTGAAAATTCTCTTTCACTTTCACTTTCACATTTTTGTTTATTAAGGATTGCTTTTCTTCAAGCAGACGCAAAATTACTATTAACTTAAGAGTTAAACACGTTTGTTATAAAGTTTATTGTAAAGTTTGCTGTAAAGTTTGTTATAAAGTTTGCTGTAAAGTTTGTTATAAAGTTTGCTGTAAAGTTTATTGTAAAGTTTGCTGTAAAGTTTGTTATAAAGCTTGCTGTAAAGTTTGTTATAAAATTTGCTGTAAAGTTTGTTGTAAACTTTATTATAAAGTTTATTGTAAACTTTATTATAAAGTTTGTTGTAAAGTTTGCTGTAAAGTTTGTTATAAGGTTTGTTGTAAACTTTGTCGCAAAATTTCATTAACATTCAACCTTGTCTACTTCTTCATCCCAATCCAATCCCGTACTACCCTTGTCTTTACTGGTAACTCTTTTGCAAGCTAATTACTAGACTGAGGAAAAAGTCCTGACTCAACTACGAAAAATTCAATTTTTATGCGCACTTTAATAACAAAAATAACAACAATTACTCCTCAACAACCCATCATTATCTACGACTTTCTGTCATCGATCTGCAAGCTTTCGGATCTGGTCGAAGTACCACTCCTTCGGTTTCGAATCAAAGAACTCTTGGCAAACTTCAGCCTCTTCAAATGGCTCGAATCGGTGACCTTTCAGGAAATGTTGCAATGATCGGAAGAGGCCATAGTCGGACGTCCGGATTGTAGACAGGATGCAGCAAAATCTCAACTTTCTCCAGCTCTTCAAACTTGTCTTTGGTCTTTTTGGCGGCGTGAGGCTTAGCGTTGTTTTGTTGAAATAGAGCTCGCTTTCGTCTGATCAACCTTGGGTACGTTTTCACTAGCTTGGCGTAAACGCAGTCCAACTGCTGGCAATAGAGCCCACTGCTGGCAATAGAGCTCACTGCTGGCAATAGAGCTCACTGCTGGCAATAGAGCCCACTGCTGGCAATAGAGCTCACTGCTGGCAATAGAGCTCACTGCTGGCAATAGAGCTTTGGAACCAACTCAAAGTGCAAGGCTCCTTTTCGCAGCTGAGTCAGAACTTTTTCCTCAACCCAATTAAATTTAATCTCTTTGTTTGTCTATTTTGTAGTATTTTTATTGTTTTCTGAATAAATCCTTTTAATTGTCAACAATGAAATAACTTTCCCTAAATCACAAAAAAAGCTACGAAATGTTTCCAATTTAAAGCAAAAAACCCAGAGTTTCATTTCGAAAAAACCCAGAGTTTGCTAACGCTTTGAAATAGTCATTTAAAATTAGAGAAAGCCAAGAAAAAGATGAAAATCAAGTGCAGAGAGTTTTTATTCTTCATTGAAAATGGAAATGCAAATGATTTTCAGTTTTACACATCTTATTTGCACGACAGCACAACACAACTTTTACATGTTTAGTGAAAAATCAATAAAACAGCTTAAAAATTTGGTTTCTACAAACATTTCCGATGAAATAATCATTTATTTCGATTAAATAATCACTAAAATCGAGATTTTCACTTAAAATCTTGGAGTTGGAAAAATTTTTTGAGAACCTTTGTGACATTTATAGATGAACTATTGGATTGGCAACTTGAAAATGGCCATCTTTTTATGCACCTTTTTCAAAAACTATTAGGTAAATGCATAAGAAATGCGGATTTCAACATTTTCATAAATTTCCAACGATAGAAACTTGATAGAAATTCCAACGATAGAAACCTGGCGGTTTGTCTCTCAGGCAGTGTCAGACTTGTTTTCAACGCTTCCGAGAGGGAGACGAGACTTTGGAAGATTACGAGCACGATTCGAGGCCAGAAGTCGTGAACGAAGCCAAGCTGATGGACGTTATTCAGGCCGATCCATGATCCAATCTGCTCGAGATCTTGCGAAAATATTCCATTGTGATCATGTCACCATCGAACGCCATCTTTTTTTTTGAATTTACCGTCAAATCGTCAGTTTCTTTTGCACCACCCTAATATTTGCCTCGAATGCAGTGCAAAGCTTTTTGAAAAGGCTGGAAATTTCTGATCGGGAATTACTTCTAGAAATGTTCAGAATTATTTCAGCTTCAAAATACTATAAAACACGGGGGAATTTAGCTTTAACTTTAATTTAGCTTTCATTTAGCTTTCATTTAGCTTTCATTTAGCTTCCCTTTAGCTTTCATTTAGCTTTCTTTTAGCTTTCCTTTAGCTTTCCTTTAGCTTTCTTTTAGCTTTCCTTTAGCTTTCTTTTAGCTTTCTTTTAGCTTTCATTTAGCTTTCATTTAGCTTTCCTTTAGCTTTCATTTAGCTTTCCTTTAGCTTTCCTTTAGCTTTCATTTAGCTTTCATTTAGCTTTCATTTAGCTTTCTTTAGCTTTCCTTTAGCTTTCATTTAGAAAATCAATCATTTACAAATGTGTCAATCAATCAATCCTGCAAAACAGAGGCCTTTTTAGATTTTCACAATTTTCTTTTAAATAACAGTTCAATTGTTTCTGTTAGGAGAATTTGAAAAAATACTTCAAATCAGGACATTTTTTGGATAAAATAGCTTCTATCAAGGCTGATCAGAAAAGGCATTTTTGCCTTATTCGCAATGCACCGATTTGCAATGGGCAATTCGAGACGTAACACTCTTTTTAGAACTCTTTGTTTTTAGAAACGTACAGCTTCTAGTGCACTGGTTCAATGGGAAAGTTTGGTGTCTTTTCTTTTTGCAAAAATCCATTGTCTATTCACGATGCTGCAATAAAATTTTATCAAAAAACAGGTGAAATTTCATGAATAAAAGACCCGTTTCAGAAATTTGTTCATCTGGCCAATAGTAATGAGAAAAAGAAGAAAATAAGAAGAAAATGGTAGGGCAAGTCATGAGAAAAAATTGGAATGTCAAAGCAAATTGACAGCTTTGTAAATGATGGGTACTTTTGCATGAAAAAGATCAATTGTTAAGTAAAAGGGGTAGGCTAGTTTCCACAACCTTTTTTTGCGCAACAGGGTTATTTGCGCTACTGGATTATTGGCGCAACTGGATCGTTTGCGCTACTGGGTCGTTTGCGGGTCATAACTTTCTTCTAACTGGACCAATCTTTATGACTTTGGTTTCATTTTGTAGATCTCAATAAGTGAAACAAAATGAAATCAAAGTCATAAGGATTCGCCTACTTAGAAGAAAGTTATGGCTCGCAAACGATCCAGTTGCGCAAACAAATAACCCTGTTGGGTCAAAAAAGTTGCGGAAATTAGCCTACCCCAAGTAAAATGTATCTTTTCAAAAAACTGTGCTTTCTCAACGTGTCAACTTTCAAAAACGATCGTAATCTTGGCTCATATTTGTTAATTTTTGTCTGATTCAAAGACTTTTCAATTAAATTCACAGAGAAAAGGTATTAAACTTAATAAACACTAGAGACAAGACAAGATTACGGTAGTTTTTGAAAGTTGAAGATGTTTTAGAAAGCTGATAGTAAGAGGTTCAGCTGATAGTAAGAGGTTTAGCTGATCATGAGCTTGATTCAGCTGATAGCTTGATTCAGCTGATAGCTTGATTCAGCTGATAGCTTGATTCAGTTGATCATGGGCTTGATTCAGCTGATCATGCGCTTGATTCAGTTGATCATACGCTTGATTCAGCTGATCATGAGCTTGATTCAGTTGATCATGGGCTTGATTCAGCTGATCATGAGCTTGATTCAGCTGATAGCTTGATTCAGCTGATAGCTTGATTCAGCTGATAGCTTGATTCAGCTGATAGCTTGATTCAGCTGATCATGAGCTTGATTCAGCTGATCATGAGCTTGATTCAGCTGATCATGAGCTTGATTCAGCTGATCATGAGCTTGATTCAGCTGATCATGAGCTTGATTCAGCTGATCATGAGCTTGATTCAGCTGATCATGAGCTTGATTCAGCTGATCATGAGCTTGATTCAGCTGATCATGAGCTTGATTCAGCTGATCATGAGCTTGATTCAAGTCTTCAAGTATTACAGTACCCACAAAATACCCAAACAGCTAAATCTAGATCATTTCTTCCTTGATCCAGTAAAAGAGAGTACATTTGAGACTTTAGTGACCAAAGAGGAGAATGGTTTAGAAGAATTGGATGAACTGTGCAATTGCTGGGTGGAGATTTCGTCGAGTTTTCGATTCAACGCCTCCTCACTTCCGCAAACCTCTTCACCCAGTGGTGGGCTTGAGTCAGATCGTTGCTGAAAAAGAAGCAATGATTTAAATGCAGAAGCTTAGCTCTAAGAAGCTCTAAGAGTTTATAAAGTTCAAAAATTCTTGAGATTCCTAGTTGCAAAGCTCACCCTTTTCTCGACCCATTCCGTGAACATGGCCGTTTCACAAAGATACGCTAAATAGGGTCTCATTGTTGGATTTGGATGTGCGGTGATGAGTTTTGCTTTGATTTTGTCGCCCCATTCCGTGTTAGCGCCAGCTGATTTATAGTGGCCGAATAGGAGCGCATACCAATGAAGCATTGCCTGGAAATTTGTTTACATTAATCCATTTGCTTAATTGCATTAATCCATTAAAGGACTTTAGTTTTTTGGAAAGTTTAGACAACGAAGATTTCAAAGAGTTCAAAGTGTGAAGTGTCAAACTTAGGAAGCTCTTAATAAGCTCTTAGTCAGCTCTTAGTAAGCTCTTAGTCAGCTCTTACTAAGCTCTTACTAAGCTCTTACTAAGCTCTTAGTCAGCTCTTAGTAAGCTCTTAGTCAGCTCTTAGCAAGCTCTTAGTAAGTCCAATTCAATTTGAACCCTTTCGTATCCTTTATTACCGCATTTTCTCTAATAGTAGTGCGCCCCGAGCCGAGTTGATGACTAGTTTACAGTTCCCAATTCTTCCCAGAAGCTCAACACTCTTCTCCCCCACTAGATCTCATCGTCAGCTACATTTTCCGACCCCACATCGATAGGTTCTGATAAGCGGATCTCGAGATTTCAAGCAATTTAGGCG